TGGCGATGGCACAGAGAAGAGGGGGGGTGTAAGACTTAGGACGTACTGCATACATCAATGCCTGCCCAAGGGCGTCCCGCTTCCTCTTGACAACCTCCGAGCTGCGAGCTTTTGTTGTGATCAAAATCTCCAACAAAAGTTCCAAACTGCGAGGGAGTCTCCCTGAGACGTCCTTGGGGGCATTGTATTCGTCATTATTGCAGAGAAATTTTCTAATGTCCTCCAAAATAATTTGTGCTGCTAGTTTCACAATCCTAAGCCTTTCATCCCCCTCGTCATTTTGCCTGTCGTTATACCAGTTATCGTACAGCAGTTTCTCAACAAACCCAGTGATATTTACTATTGAACTTTTGGACCCAAACCCGTCCGTAATAGTAATGCCACTGCCGTAGTGTTGGAGAAGTTTTGCCTTCAGATGTCGCCTGGTATAAATACAGGTACCATCACAACCGCCTTGCTCCTCTAGCTGTTCAATAGACGACTGGCACTCCTTATGAGAAACACAGGTACCACCACAACCGCCTACCTCCTCTAACTGTTCAATAGAGAACTGGCAGTCCTCATGAGAGTCCAGAAAGTCACAAATCTTCTTGAACGACCGCAGCAGTTCTTCGTCCGCTGGGCGCCCAGCTCCAGCTGCCTCGGAGCGCGGCTTTTTGTAGAAAAATCTTGACAGACAGTCCCCATGGTACTTGGCCTCGGCGGCGACCAGGTCCTGGCCGGGGATGCGCGCGAGGCGCCCTCGCACTTCTTCAGCCCACTCGTCGTCCACCCCGCGCTCCTCAATGCGTTTCGCGAGACGGGGTGCTAAGTCTTTGGTCATCACGTTGTGGATCTTCTCTCTTTTGTTCAGCGGCCGCTTCCGCATCGTTTTGAGGTTCAGGCATTCCCCGCACAGCAAACAGTTCTCCCTTTCATTGAACGGGGCCTGTGACCGGAGCGCCGGCGCTAATGGTGCACACGAGTCGTCAGCGTCACCCCTTTCCCGGAACTTCCCTCGGGCCGCGTTGAAATCCCTTCTGCACTTTTGGTGCATCCACGCGGTTTCAACATGTTGCAGTCGCACGTGTACGTCGTACCCTCGGTCCCTGCTCACTCTAAACATATCGGGCAAAGCCCGCCCCACTAGTGAGCTGTCCGCCTTTGTCATCCCCGTATCACCACACAGAGGACACGGGCTCAACGGGTCTGGCGCCGCGGCGCTTGGTCTCCTGCCGCGCCCCATGGCGGCGGGCGGTAACAAGTCACTCCCCCGCAAACACACAAGTAGCAGAGGCACAATCACAGTCACAATCGCAGGCACAATAATCCAAAAAGGGCACGGACGACACACGGGACACGAGGTGGCACTGGTCAACTCAAAGCAGCAGAAGTCGCACTGCGCTCGGAGGTTAGGTCGCGAACCCGGTGTTACTCCTCCGAGAGCATGTGCTGACTGAGGGCTGTCGACGCCTCCACCAACACTTCCGTCGTCTGATAGGGTCCAGACGTGCCGAGTGGACATTTTTGGCGAACAGCTCTGCCATTGGTCAGCCAACACTTGTCTGCATTTCAGCAGAAATTCCTTACTTTTACGACCCTACGCGCCGCGGCGCCGCGGCTGGCCCTACCCGCCCCGACCTGGGTCGTGCCGAAAACAGCGCGACCTAGGGCCCGGCTGCCGGACACGTGTCCAAGAGACGAACAGGACTCGGCTGAT